GTTAAACTAGTGTATATGTAATAAAAAATATAGGAAAAAAGAATTTTGGAGAGTACAAGATATTTAACTCATATCATTTATATTCAGTAATATTTAGTCTTCGACTTATAGGAAGAAGTTAAACATTATATGTGACACCTAATAAATTTTATAACTCCAATGAATTAATGTATCATCAACTATTTTATATTAATAATTATTTTTTGTTATTTAAGATAAACTATTTTACTGCTAATAATTCAATAAATATAACTAATAAAATGTAGATATTTTGAATCTGTAAAATTGAGTATTTTTAAGTATGGAGATATAAAAAAAGAATATTTTATTCTTGTTTTTAAATAAAATGATTTAATTTTAATAAGTTATCAAATTTTTCTTCTTTCCTCACATTGTTAGGAATTATATTATTTACAGAAACTAAGGTAGGAATAATTATATATTTGTGGAGTCTATATAAAATTATTATTTGTATTGTTGTAATTCTTTAATTTATATCTTTTTAGTGACGTTTGGAAGTCATCGATATGTCTCAACCAACAGACTATCAATATCATACATATGGAAATGGGGGTAACTTAAAAAGTGGTCCCCCTCAAATGGTAAATGGACAAGCAAGTGCGACACACCATAATGGCATGCAATCAACAAATTATAACTTTACTGGTAAGTATACATTTAGATATGAAATATTACTATATGTTACTTTTAATTATAGAATAGAATAGAATTTGATATTTAATCTTATTTATTGCAATATTAATTTTATCTTTATTTATCTTTTTCTGTCATTTACTATTTTCTCTTGACATATTTAAAATTTTAAAAATAAGGAAAATAAATATTATTTGGTATTTTAATTATCATTACTGATTATAATGACATATGTTTTCTTTATTTATTTTCATTGTTATGTTTATTTCAAAGAACGATAATTTAGAAGTTTATGATATTTTATGAAATAACCTAATATTAAAGAAATTTTACTAAAATGTTGATTAAATAATTTTTTTCCCATACATATATTTGTAGTTGTTCTTTTAATATAATATTTAAAGTTTATTAAGCATTATGATTTGTTTTTAGGTACCTCATCATCACAGTCATCACGAGATCCATCTAGGGAAACCTCAAGAGACCCATCACCAACTCCATATCTTCACAATCAGTACAGGTCACCTTTACAACGACCTCCAATGCCTCCAGTAAATGGTCAACAAAATCCAATAAATCCAACTAATCCAATGAACATAATGCCACCACCACCATCATCAGTAAGGTTGCCCCAAAGTCAACAATATCCACAAATGTATAATGTACAGAATCAGTTTCAAATGCCAGTTATGAAAGGTCAAGCCCTGCCAAGAGATGAATCAGTAAATTCACAAGTAAATACACAAATAGAGCCACCAAAAGCAATGACTGGATTTGATCAAAACTTGGCACAGAACTCAGTATCAGACTCAAAATCTTATAAAACTGACGATTTAAATATTGTACAAGGTGTGCAAACATATGTGCAGCAACAAGAACCACAAAGTGCAATTCCCACTACTATGCAGCAAACTAGAGGACAAAGTATTTATCAACAAAATTTTGGAGGACAGAGAGTGTATCCTAAAAATGTATATAATGTACCACATTCTACCACTATACCAAATACAATGCCTTATGGTATGGTTGGTAGTGGGCAGGTTCAATCAAAGGTTCCAACTCCAACAGGATTTCCAGGGCAGAGAATGGTTTGTTTTTCTAAAATTTCATTTTATTATTTTACATAAAAGAATTTATGTGCTCTATTAATAAAAAGTTTCATTGCAATAATGAAAAATATATTTAATTAAATTTCAAAAAATATATTTTAATTAATTTTTGATGTAATAATACATTTCTAAATTTAAAATTGTTATTAGGTATAATGCTTTGTATGTGATATTTATGTTTTGTAGTTAAAAAAAAAAGTTTGATCTTTTTCAGTATCCAAATCAGCCACCAAATCCAATGAGTATGTCATATGATTCAATGAATAAACGATATTCAGAATCATATCCTGATCAAATGAATCAATTAAATAATCAAATGAATATGATGTCTGTTGCCCAACTTGGATACAATAAAATATGGGTATGGAATAGAAAAATGTATTTTTCAGAAGTTTTATGTATTGTAAAAAATTCATTGATATAGTTTTAATAGTTTAAATTATAAAAAATTTATATTATAAAAATAGATATCAAATAATATTCCAATTCTTATTTCTATATATGTTATTTTAAATTTAATTATATTTTTTAATTAAATTTTAATTAACTAAATTTAGAGATATTACGTTTTTTTACTGTTGGTAAACTAGTAGAATATCTTGTTTTAGGGAATGGAGAGCATTGATCTTTTGCAATGTAGAAACATTCTACCTGCAGAGAAAGTAGAACCACCAAAGATCAAACTTCATCAAGAGTTTCTAGACAGTGTTAATTGTAGTCCAGAGTAAGTATTTTATACATAAGAAGATGCAATGATTAATTTAAAAATTATAGTAATAAATAATGATTATTCAAGATATAACGATATTTTCATACAGGTTGAATTGTTAAATATATTAAATTTGTACTATTCTAGCACAATAATTATTACATTTAAAGTTATAATAATAATTAATTTTCTAATTTCACTTTAAGTGATTTTGTTATTATTTTTCTTACAGTATTTTCCGCTGTACACTTACGAAGATTCCTGAGACGAATTCTTTGCTGCAAAAATCTAGATTGCCTTTGGGAGTTTTAATACATCCTTTCAAAGACTTAAATGTAGGTACATTTTTCTTCATTGAATATTCAACATAATACGACATATTTTTAATGATTATTTATTTATTAATAACGAATCATTGTTGACCTTTCAGAACTTACCAGTAATACAGTGCAGCACAATAGTTCGATGTCGTGCTTGTAAAACGTATATTAATCCATTTGTATATTTCATTGATTCAAAAAGATGGAAATGTAATCTTTGCTATAAAGTAAATGAATGTAAGCATAGTTTTTTATATTTTTAATTTTAATATTTCCTTTATTTTATTATTCTTATTAATTTTATATGTATGTAATATTAAAAATTAGATTTAATAATGTTTTAAGTCCTAGTATCAGTCGTCCTTAATCAAATTTTTAGTATATGTTTTGGAATTTATACGAATGTTATGTTTATAGTGCCAGAAGATTTTCAGTTTGATCCTGTAACAAAATCATATGGGGATCCATCAAGGAGACCAGAAGTAAAAACTAGTACAATTGAGTTTATTGCACCCAGTGAATACATGGTAAGTAATCTGTAACATTAATACACATCATTGATATCAATTAAAATATTCATGTTTGAAGTATTCGATGTTTGTTTAATGAATTAAATTTTTGTAAAATTAATTTATAGAAATATGAAAAAGTTTTATATGCGTTTTATAATGATATAAACTATATAATTATTATTAAATTAATTGTCTGTTAAACGTATTTATTAAGTTATTTTTTTTGTAAGAATTGTTAAAACTTAAATTGAAAAATAAATAAAACAATAAATGTGTTTAAGCTGCGTCCACCACAGCCAGCCGTGTATCTCTTTGTTTTCGACGTATCGAGACTGGCAGTAGAGAGTGGTTATCTGAGCATAGTTTGCAACGTAATTTCAGAAGAATTATCAAGACTGCCAGGTGATGGTAGAACCCAAATTGGATTTTTAGCAGTAGACTCTGCAATACATTTTTTTGGAATACCTGATAATGTATCACAGCCTCAGGAAATGATCATGCTTGATATCGACGGTAAAATTACATTCTCATGCATCTTAAAATTTAAATATATTTAATTGTTATATAACTTAATGCATGTATCTAATAGTAAAAAATTTGTATGCAGATGTGTTTCTTCCATGTCCGGAAAATTTAATCGTTAATATGAAAGAACGGGAAGAATTAATAAGAGATTTATTGGCTCAATTGCCTACAAAATTTCAAGGAACTCATGATACAAATAGTGCTTTGGGTGCGGCGTTGCAAGCTGCATATAAACTTATGGTATGTGAAAAATATATTTATTCATTCGAAAAATAAAAATACATCAAGTGCATTGAATTATTTAATTATTAAATTAAAATTAAATAATTACATTAAAGAATTTTGTTTTATAATAAGATTTAATATTAAAAATAAACCAAGTAATTGGGTATACATACACATATATATTATGAAAGAAAGAAAAAAGTATTAAAAAAAAAGTAAACGTTTCTGATTTTATTTTAGTCACCAACTGGTGGACGTGTGACCGTCTTCCAAACTTGTTTGCCAAATCTAGGTCCAGGATTATTACAAGCAAGAGAAGACCCAAATAGTAGAGCGGGAAAAGACGTACCGCATTTAAATCCAGTCACAGATTTTTACAAAAGATTGGCGTTAAATTGTAGTGAGCAACAAATCGCAGTTGATCTATTTCTATTAAACTGTCAATATTGTGATCTAGCTACTCTTTGTACGTATTAATTTTAGATTATTCCCTTTACTGCTTATCGTGTGATTTTATGATATAATTTAAATAATTTATATATTAGAAAATTAATTTTTTATTTATTCAACATACTAATTATTTAAAAAGTAATTATCAAAAAATTAAAACAAAGATTATATAAATACAAATATTATATTGTAGCTGGTATGTGCAACTTTTCTGGAGGTTGCATACATCACCTTCCTCTATTCCGAGGTTCAAAACCACAACATGCAGAATTTCTCGATAGAATACTGAGACGTTACCTCACCAGGAAAATTGGTTTCGAAGCAGTGATGAGAATACGATGTACTCGAGGGTTGAGTATTCATACTTTCCATGGAAATTTCTTTGTGAGATCAATTGATCTTCTTAGTTTACCGAATGTCAATCCGGATGCTGGTTTTGGAATGCAAATTTCTATAGAAGAAAACCTCTCAGATGTGCAGAATGTCTGCTTTCAGGCTGCTTTACTTTATACATCAAGTAAAGGTAAGTATATTTATATGTTATTATTATTCTAGTTTTATTTAACTCTCTTAAGAATTAGAAGAAATGTTTCTAGAAAATATCACGCATAATACACTGTCCAACACGAATTTTGATCTGTAATATCCATTGGGTAAATTTTGTTATATGCACGTTACTGACAAGTATTTTCTCGGTCTGGTTGAATTAAAAACTGTTTTGGTAATTCTGCTGCATAATTTTTTGTAAAATGCAAGAAAAGAGTATAAAAAATATTTTTAAGCTTTTTTTTTTAAACTCTATTTTTAATGCGGCGGCTTATTTTTAAACTTTCATGACCACTTACTTTGAAAAACTCGGGAAATTCTCACCTAAGTTTTAAGATAAGGCTGAGCCTCTTAACATTTTTAGCGACTTTACAAAAACTCTTTTTTTCGATAACTGAGGGAGACAGCAATCTCGTTTATGCATACGTGTTCAAAAAGATAAACGCTACAAGGATCACACAACAGATGTTACAGAATGAAGAAAAAGTTAAAATTTGTTGGGCAGTGATATCTATATTATTTATTATTACCAGAATAAATGAAACTAATTATAAAAAAATTAAGATTTTATGTGGTACTTATATTATTCATCAAATTCATAGAATAATTTATTTAATTTTTTAGAATATATCCTGAAATTCTTTATATCAGATTAATTTTATGATAAGACTTATGCTAAAAAATTTGGTTAAAAAGGAACAAAACTAAAAGAATGTGTTGTAGGTGAAAGAAAAATTAGGGTACATACATTGTGCCTACCAGTAGTATCTACTTTATCTGATGTCCTTCATTCCGCTGATCAACAATGCATAGTAGGCCTACTTTCTAAAATGGGTAAGACTAATATTTCTAGCACACCATTAAATAGTATTATTACTAGAATTGAATAGAGTTTCAATACAGTATGTTAAAATTTGCTTTTCTACTTTCTTCAGTTTTATGGAAAAAAAAATATATGAGTATGTTTCCAAGTGAATTTATACTTTTACAGCTGTAGACAGATCTCAACAGTCTTCTTTGTCTGACGCACGAGATGCTCTGATAAACGTAGCCATAGATGTTTTATCAGCCTACAAATTGTCTCAATCAGTAGCCTCTGGTGGACTTTTAGCTCCAGCAAGCTTAAAATTACTGCCTCTTTATATTATTGCTCTGCTCAAATGTGTAAGTATTAACAAAAAAACTATGATTTTTATATAGAAATTAAATAAAATATAATTATATTTCTTTATTTATACAATATATACATTACCTTAATTATTTTGTTACTGTGAACAAATGATTGTTTATTTATTAAAACAATTTGAATAATCTAAGATAATTAGTATTTTGTTTCTTTTCATTTATTTGTAATTAAAAAATAATGTTTTCTTATTTTTCAGGTTGCCTTCAGATCAGGAACAAATACGAGACTTGATGATCGAGTGTTCGCAATGTACCAGTTGAAAACTCTGCCACTGTTTCAATTAATTCAAATGATTTATCCAGATCTTTATCCTATTCACACGCTTGAAGATCGAAATGTGAAAGATATTAGTGGGAAACTATGCCCCCAACAACCTAGACTGCATCTTTCTGCGGAGAAACTTGATTCTAGAGGTGCTTTTTTGATGGATACTGGCGATCGAATATTTATTCTGATCGGCAAGAATATCCATCCCTCGTTTTGTTGTAATGTGCTCGGAGTTTCTGCTTTTCCCTCGATACCAGAAGAACTCGTAAGTTCAAGTTTATCTAATTAATTATCTATAATTTAACATTTAGCTTATTTGCTATATTCATGTTTGTAATAAATAAAATTACATCTACGTTAATCATTAGTTTTTTGTTTTGTCTATTTTTTTTTTAAATCTCGTATTATTATTTAATGTAAAAAATATACTGAAAATAATGTATGAAATTAGTAAAAAATAGTTAAATATTGATTTAAAAAAGTTTAAGTAATTCAATAAACATGGAAATTTTATTTTCAGTATGAGTTACCAGAGATTGAGACGGCAGAAAATGAAAGGTTACGCAATTTTATATTTAGTCTGCAAGAAGAAAAGCCCTATCCAGCTTCTGTACAAATTATTCGGTGAGTTATTTTATTTCTTGTATCTAGAAGATTATTACATTTTAAATTGTTAAAAAGTTAATAAATGTTAAATAATAACGAATATAGAAAACTTAATATTTGTTTAAAATGAGTTGTTAGCGTTGTTATTCAGTTATACTCATATATTGAGGAATTACAAAGCTGCTAAAATTTTTATTAGATTTTATGCTTTATACAATCATTACACTTTTAAATATAATTCTAATTAATTAAAGTTGCGTAATTTAATGAATTTAATTAGAAATGTGATAATTTTTTAATAATATATATTTATCTCAGTCATATTTAAAGGGTAATATATAATATTTTTTTTAAAATTAATTATTTTTAATTTAATTCATATAATCGTGTAAGTTAAAATATGTTTAAGATTCTTAATTTTTAATTTTCAGAGATGACAGTCACTTCAGGACGCTTTTTGTTGAACGATTAGTCGAAGATCGTTTTGAGAATTCTTTAAGTTTCTACGAATTCTTGCAACATCTTAAGACTCAAGTGAAATAATAATAAAAGAAATCATTTTGGGGTTAAATGAATACAAAAAAAAAAAGAACAAACAGATCTTAATACACAAAAGCCATTGTTGATGACAGTGAAAGTGTTTAACAATCGTGAACTGTGTTCAAAATATGCGAACCTCTAAAAAACGATTGTTTGATCGGTTAATTAGAATGAAACACATAGAGATACAAAATATCATATATATGTATATATACATGTGTATATACATATACATATATATAATATATACACATCCATGTGTATATGTACATATATATGTATGTATATTGGTAATTATATACATGTATACATATATGTACGTATATATTTGTAGGAATGAATGTTATTCTTGTTTTAAGAAATGTTAAAGCATTTAAATACAATTCAGTTGTAATTATTATTTTATTACTATTATAATAATTATGTTATTCTTATTAGTTACACTATTTTTTTGAGTTTATCGGTTAAATGAATTTAAACAAATATTCTTTTTCTAATATTTTTCTGTTCTAAAAATTTTTAATTATTTAATTTTCAGACATTTAAAAAATTCCCAAAGTTTTTAATTTCAAATACTCCTTTTAATTACATTACGTCACGTGTTTAGCTATTTTTAACAAGTTTAAAAAGTCACGTAATTAATTGCCTAAATAATTGTGTCGAATTGCTTTGGGATTGACGTATTTCACGAAATTTGGTTTTAAATTAATTATCTTACGTAATTTGTATGTTTTAAGTGTAATATATTTTTTAAAGTAATTAGCCATTCGTGTGTTACAAAAGTTTTCTTCTCAATCGAAATGATTTTGTAAATAACCGTCATATTTTTGGCGTATCACGTACAGAAATTTTACAATAAATTACGAATTATGACTTATCAGCTACGTAATATAAAGCAATATATATACATGCAGAGTATTTCATAAGGTATGGTGTATCCAAAAAAGAAGAAATTCATACTCGCGAAATAAGATGAATCTTTTTTCAAACCCAACTCATTTATTTGTTTTAAGATGGTAGTGGTATATTTATATTATTTTATTTCTATTATAGTGAGGATTCTTTCCAAATAAGGTAGTTCGTATTAATAAGTACAGTTTTCTTCTTCTTGTGTTAACTTTTATTACTGAGGTGATTGAAATAGAAAAATTAACTTCTTAATTTACATACATATATGTATGAAAATTTCGAAAAGTGTGAAAAATGATGTAAAATATTACAATTATTTACATCTTTTAAGTACTTATATGTTTAATTTTAATTATTATTTAGGTAAAAGCACGTTTAATGATAATTGTAGACAAATTTTAAATATCATCTTATTTTTCATGCAAGAATTTTACATCTTTGGAATATACCACTCTTTATGAAGCAATTTATTATGTACAGAATGTCTCACTAAATATGATATGAAAGTATAATTGTTTTATTATTAATCCTATGAAAAAATTATTTATTAATATTGATGCAATTTTTATGTATTTTAATTATTTACTTTTGTTAATCAATATGTCAAATTAATATTTGCTACATTCACAAAGTTCATGGTATGAAAACTAATTTCTGTTCGTAAATAATTACAAATTTGTTAAGCTTTTCTGTTATTAATTTTTAATTGATAATTTTAAAAATGTTTTCTACAATAAGCAAATAGATACATAACAATTTTATTAATATATTCATTACTGAAGGAAAAGTAAATGTTGAAGAAAATATTAAATTTAAGCAAAATGAATTATATTAGTATACATAATTAGAAAAAAGTAGCATGTACATGAAATTGTTATGTTTTATTTGTGCAAATTATTGTGAGCTACGTAGCATGAAACGTTTTAATTTTACAATTGAATGAGTTAATAATCACTAGTAAGTTTTTCTTTTATGAAAAAAGATGTTACATTTATATTTAATGAGACGTACTGTGTATGAATGTACGTACGTATGTACACGTGTGTGTATGATGTACGTGTATATAGTATATGTATAGGCTGATCTCGAATTGACAAAGCTAATAACATATTATTTACAAGGAACATGATTTTTTTTTACAATTGCGATTTGTAGAAATGTGTAAACAAATTCAACGTGGATATAAAACCCAAAGGACATGAATTTAGAACAAGATAGGCACATCATATTAAACAAAAGTGATTTTACATTGCACATAAATACAACTTATAAACTGCTTCTAATTACTTTACAGGGCTTAAATTCTTATATATCACCTTGATGGCTATATTTTTGTTGCAAAGATAATGATTATAAGTACATATATATAAATTATACAAAAAGATAATGATTTTAGAATATATCAGTATAAATTATGAAACAATTGAGATAGACAAATTTTTGCAGTAAAATTTCTTATAAGAGAAAACTATAAGAAATTTGAAATTGGAAAACCACAAAGTAATTTTTTGCTCCGTAATTTTCGTTATTTTTATAAAGTACTGTAGTAATAACTGGATTTGGTATATAATTAATTTTTATATGATTTAATCAATTTTTATTATAATCAGTTTTGAGGTAGAAATACATTCATCAGATATAAATTCTTAATTTATATATATTGATTGTATGTATACATATATGTGCTGTTTATATACACTGGGTGTTTAAAATGCAAAACTTTCCAATTTATTCAGATGTATTTTGTATGAGTATACTTACTTAAATATACTTTTGATAAATTAATTGATACTGGTTTAAGAACTATTAATTAACCAAAACTAATTTGATATTAAATATTCTATAACGAAAATGTTTAATAATTTAGAAATTTATATAATTAGAAAAATATATTATTTATCTAAATCAGAGCATAAGAAATTTTTCGATAAAATATTTTAATTAAATATAGCCAAATATAAATAAACTAATATAAATTGACAACAAACTCTATAAACAAATATAATCGTAAGTTATAAACTACATATAAAATTTAATGCATCTAGATTTAGCTTATAATAACTTAAAAAGGTATGATCGTTTATTAAAACTAATATTTGGTATATTGCTTATGTAAATTATAAGTGAAATTTTTGAGTAATACTTGATGAATATTAACATTTTTCCTAACCAATTAAATTAATAAGGTTCTAATTGTTGAATTATGTTAATTTAACAAAATTTAGGATATAAAGTATAAAAGATAAAATAATTTTATAACAATTTTCTTGACTAAAAAATTTAATTTTCGTTTTTCGACAAGAAATAGACATATTATTTTATAAAAATATAGGTGTATAAATATTTGCTTTTGATTTATTACAAAAAGTCAATAGTTAATTATTTTCATTTTGTTTAACTATAAATCATTATTTGAAATAATTTGATCTTCCCTTATATATTTTGTAGTGAGTAATGGGTAAATAAATATATCGTATAATTTTTATTCTGTATTTTTTTACACCCAGTGTATGGAGACCATCAGGTTAAATTATTGAATGATAAAAATATTTTCTAGAGCATTTGACAATTTTTCTTCTATATCTTTTTGAATTTGATATTTTTCAAAATTATGTAATGTCTTTTATTACATGATATAATCAATAAAAACGTAGTTTAATAATTTATTTGAAATAATCATCAATTTAAATACTCATATTTGGAAAGTTTAATTTTATAAATTTTTTAAATTTAGGTAAGAAAATATTTTAAGAAAAAAGATAACGATTTAAATATTAGAGAAAATCTAATTTATAAGAAGTATGTATTTGTTACAAAGACATTTTTCTAATAACATAAAGACGTAATTATATATATGATAAACGATAAAAAGGGTGAAATTTAACAATTATTTATAACTTAGACTGCTGCATGTATTTTCAAAATTGAGATTACCTTTTACACTATCCTCACGTTATCCTCAGAATGTATAATACTCATGTAATTTCAATCACTATTAATGCCTCACATAATTAGAGAGATTTATGAACATATGTACATTACACGAAAGGCAGCTCGGCACATGGACATGTTATATGAAACGGTATCGAATTATAGCATCTTTACAGAGAATATAGAGATAGCTATATTCGTTGTTGGATACATACTATAGGTATATGTAAGCATATGTAAATGGACGATTATGCCTCTCCTTTGGTTAATTCGAGATAAGTCTATGCAGAGAAACAGGAAACTTCTGAAATTCTGTTTCTCCTACCAAAAGATGCTGCCAAAAGAAGACAAGTATTCGAATATTTTTCTTAAATCCAAACAAATCGTGAATCAACGAGACGGAAACAGTGGTGGAAAGATGATGTAAGTTATAAATTGCGCTGTAAAAGGTGCAAGAAATAAAACTCTTAACACTGTACAATTGTCTTTGAATTTTCTTACTGTAACGAGTATATCGACTGACAGATTTTTGTCAGTTAAATGTGTTTCGTTATGAATATTCAAAGCTGGGAAAATTCTGCGATATTTAAATACCGTTCATTTATTATTTTCCAGAAATGCTTCTTTAATCAAATATACGTTCATGTTTTGTGTACCAAAAAATATCAGTGATTCTTTATGTGATATTCGTATATGCTTTGTTGAATGTAATCCAATGATTATGATACTTACAATACTTGTTAGTTAGATATTTAATAATTATGATCATACTATTTTCGGCTATTAAAAATTCTAATATATATTATTAATATTAGAATTTTAATATTAGAATAATTCTAAAAATTTTATTAATAATTTTAAACATAAACAAAAGTTGTGTGTTGTATAATATTTTAATGATCTGAAAAGAAAATATATTATTTCTATATAATTAATATTAATACACTTCGTAAAGAATATACTGTAATAATCATGTACTTGTTTTAAAAAATATTTTAGGCTTGCTTTGAAATATATTAATTATTGTTTTCAAATATATAATACATTTAATACATATATTTCGACAAAACATATACTTCACACATATCAACAATTAATTTGAAAATCTTGATTTATAATTTTGATTTAATTTCGATGAAATTTTAATTGATATTGTTTCAGTCTTTAATATGAATTTTATTAAAAAGTTTATTTGTAGTATAACTAAATTTTTATCCAAATT